TTTTAAATAGTTATCGCTTTAAATAGTCGAAATAATAAAAATTAAATTAATGATGTCTAAATAAAATAAAATACTAGGATAAAGCTAGCTACCGGATACCTTCATAATTTTATTACATAATGCAGGTAAAGCTTGAGTGCATAATAATACTTACATTAAAGAACCAAATGCCAACTCGCATTTGTTTATTTATTTATTTTAATGAATTGAATGAAAAAGACAAAAATGACCGTATTCAGGGGAAAAACCTCTAATGTTCATATTGAAATAAATAATTAATTAAATTTGAAGAAAAATAAAATAAAATAAGAATTAATTTTTTAATTCTTATAATTTTACTTGAATATCTTACTATGGCATTTTGTATCTGTTACTGGTCAAATTATTTTTAAACAAGAAAATTCAAAAATTAAGCTTAACAAGTCAAAATTCAAATATATCCGCAATGAATCTTAATAAAAAATTTAAATATACATTTAATCATTTCATCGTTTAAAAATATAACTTTACAAAATTTGTTAATTATATGCCAAAGCTGCAGTATCATAATAAATAAAACGAAAAGAGGATGATAGTGAAATTTATTAATTTTAATATAAGATTATCATTACGATAAAATTGTAAATATTGCCCCATTTTGTTTTCTATTATATCCTTATCACCAATATGAAGTGTTTCTACTCAATGTCCCAGTTGTGCGTCTCTTTGACTCCACAATCCATATCTAAACTTGAGGGACTCGAGAAAAAAATGGCCGCATTTATTCGTCACAGTGCTATTAATGTCATATACTTTTCAAGGGGTTAATCATCAGAAGACGGTCCCAAAATGTTGTCCAAGTTCGATATCTCATGATCATTATCAATCTTGTGGTAACCCATATAGATATAGCTACTCCAACTAGGATTGTTAGTTTGTTTTCTTCTATTAGTTCCTTCATGATTTTGTTCTTTTTACGTGGATGGGTGCTTACACTTAATTTTATAAACATGTATAATTATATTTCTTTGTATTGTGTCGTGACCCAAATTCGGACTATGTGACCAGCACTAGGTCGCTATTAAATAAATCTAAGTATTAGATTCTTTAAAAATTTTGATAAAATCTCTTCTAAAAACTACACATAACCCAATTTTTACCATTTGTCAAATTTGCAATTTTAATGGCCTAACAGTGAGCCTAAGCACTCATAATATAAGCAAAGTAAAACATCATTATGCAATGTCATATAATCTCTAATTCTACAATGGAAGACCTGTTTGAGACTAATAGAGCATTTCTAATGTATAAGTCCATAATACATACTCTAGGTCTTACATGACTAAAGCATGATAGAAATACAAAATCATAATATATGCCCATCTATCATATTGAACTCACTAAAATACTCTATTTGATCAGCTAGATCTAGGAAGACAATCAGCACCAAGATTTGAAAAAATTAAAAAGGGAGTAAGTTTGACAACTTAATGATATGATAATACATATTCTAAATATGTTAAGATGAGTATTATAACACAAACACTTTTTACAAATTAATTTTATAAAATTTGAATCAATTGTATAAAATACTTTGAGAACCAAATTTATTACTTTCAAATATGAAACTGTCATTACACATGTTACATATTTCAAAATCATGTGGGAGTTCACTTTTATATGACATTCATATTACATATTTAGGCTCTAAGGCCTCTAATCATATCATTTTCACAATGTTCACATTCACATCATTTTAATCAATATCCAATCCATAAGTGTGGGTCAAATACGATGGGTTAGCAACACCCCTACTAGCTGTGGTTCCAATCAAGGTATAACAAGACTAGTAATATCCCTATTAGCTGAGATTATATCATAGTTTTTTACCACGCAATAGTTGCTCAAAATCTATATCATAGTTTAAAACATATATTTAGATTCCCCTTTTTATAATTTGGCAATATAAGTATTTATCAAAACCTTTATATTCCCATAATTATAAGTAGTAATTCAAGTTCATATGCAAAACTCAATACACATTAGAAATACAAGGATACTGATTTTCAATATACTTGTTTCACATTTTTATTATTTAACATATGAATCATGCTGCCATACTTGAATCAAATAATTCTTTAAAACACATCAAATCATATTAAATTTGTAGATATGATAACAAATTTGAAATAATTAGGCAAATAATTCATTTAGAAAACTTTAATAACACTACAAAAAAAACGCGTTAATTACAACAGTTATTTTGGCAAAAAACGGCGGTTTTTAACCGCCATTTTTTACTTGTAGGCGGTTTGAAAAACCGCTGAAATTTCTTCCGCCATTCGATATAATACGGCGGTTAAAAACTAACCGTTGTGTCAACCGCTGTAATTTACAATGACAAATTACGGCGGTTAAATTATGGCAGTTCAAACCGCTGTAATTAATGGCGGTTAAAATTACGGTGGTTGAACCGCCGTAATTTACTACAATTTACGGCGGTTAAATTACGGTGGTTGAACTGCACCATAATTTATGGCAATTTAAGGCAGTTAAATTACGGGTTGATGTGCCGTAATTTACAGAAATTTACGGCGATTAACCGTCGTAATTTACGATAGTTTTTTGTCTTATTTTTTTACGGCGGTTTTTTTGTAAATTGTAACGGTTGAACCGCCGTAATTTTACAACAGTTAAATTACGGTAGTTTTGGTTGTAATTTACGGCAATTTTTTTTGTTGAACCGCTTTAATTTATTACGGTTAAATTACGACGGTTTGAGTGTAAATTACGCCAATTTTTTGTAAATTGCGGCGGTTGAACCATTATAATTTACGATGGTTAAATTACGACAGTTTTTGTTATTAATTTTTTTTTGTAAATTATGGCAGTTTTGAGTGTAAATTACAGCGGTTAAACCTTCGTAATTTACGATGGTTAAATGTCATAATTTAAGATGGTTAAATTACAAAGGTTTTTGTTATTAACTTTTTTTGTAAATTACGACGGTATTTTTACAAAATTGTGGTATTTTTTTTTGACTAATTTACAATAATTTTTGATATAAATTATAACAATTTTTTGTATAAATTAAAACAATTTTAACTGTAAATTACAACAATTTTTTACCGTAATTTTTTGCTGGTTTCAAATTGCTATTTTTTTAATCGTAATTTTTTGCATTTTCTAAACCACTTTTTCTTTTTTTGGAAATTGCTATTTTTTGTTATTTTATCTATCTAATTATTAACAGTTTCATACCATGCAAGAAAAATTTAGAAAAATGAAAAAATGCTTTGGTCTCCTCTTAAATGTAGAACTATCATCATAGCCAATATATTATTGATTTATCATCATTATAATACGAGAATGTTTGAGATAAGATATAAACTAGGTAAAATAACTGAATACCAAATGACAAAGAATTGTCAAGTATACAATACTAAATAAAAAAAATTATATATTAAAAATAACATATTTACAACAGTAAAATGTATATATTACACAATCAAATAATCATTTATTATCAAATCTGAGAGACCTTTTATGCCTGAAGGAAGTAAATTTTATTTCTTCAAAATAGATTTAGATACTATCATACCCCTGGGAAGACGTTGAATATATTGGATATCTCCTTGATCCTGAGTGAGATAGATCAAAAGGGGGGAATCAAGAAAACCAAAGAGCAAGAAAAAAAATACTAAGTGAGAATTTGAATTAGATTATAATAACCTAAGAAAATATTATATATATAATACCTTGCTCAACTACACTTGTTGTACCTGCTCCAATTACATCAAGGAAAGGCAAGTGCAGCAACAGAAATAGGAAGGCTTGAACAAAAAACCACAAGTGCTGCCTCAATTAGTTTCCAATACATTACAACTTCACATTTACAAAAATAAAAAATAAATAAAAAAGCTCCCATATGTTTTTCAAATAAATCTGGAGAAATAAATCCTAAAGTAGAAATCTGGAGAAAAAATTCAGAATATGGGAAGGCTTAAACTAAGGGCTAAAATGGATAAACCGAAATACCTATCTACAAGCAATAGATTATCATTTGAAATCTAGATAAATTGTGCTTAAAAGTTAGAAAATACAAGAAGTTACCACTTTCATATATCGAGCCAACAATCCAAGTTTTCTCTCAATGCCTACAATTCACAGAATTTCCTTCAACAAGCCTCCAAATTAAGATAAAAAGGTGTAGGAACATGACCCAAAAAAATTATGGAATTCCATTGCACAAGACATCTCATAAAATCAAAAACAATCAAGGCAACAAGAGCAGTAATTTGCAGAAGAAAGTCCAATAGAACTGCCAAGGTTGGAAACAATATGAAGATGGCTGTCAATTGATAAGAGCCTAGAATTACTCTACAAACAATAATTGACTTTTCAAACACCCTTCCAACATAGCATTACCACATAGTTTATATATGTATGTTGTTTTCCTCTCAAATGCCACCCAAGGAAAAGGCACATTTGCTCTCCTGTTGAGATGTCCTTGCTTGGTCAAAGAGTTGACTCGCATTTACTAATTCTCACTAATTCAATTAAATAACAATATCCTATTTAAAGAATAAAACAAAAAGGGGTTTGGCAGTATAGAGAATAAGCCACTAGGTATGTAATATTCACCCCAACCACATGCATGTCCCTTTTCTTTCAGTGTAACTAGCCATCAGAAAAACAGGGAGTTAAGTTCTCCCTCTCTTACAATGGTTAGTTGGGCAAAGACTTAAAAGAAAAATCTAGCTAAACTTAATGGAAAAACCAAATCATACCTCTATGCCGCGAAACAATAAGGTTTTGTGTGATTGGCTATTGTCTAGAATCATAATTCTAATTTGGAGTTAAATTTTAAAAAATTTGTTTACTTGACTTATGGCTCAAATCACGTAACTAAAGTCATTAATTCCAAAATCTCACTATCTACTTAAAACAAGTGATTGGGCAGCTGGGTTTACTCCCTTTCAAATTTGTTGGAGATCCCCAGTTGGTATATAATTGACTGTTCAGTTGTGCTCTGCACCCAAGACACGGAGATCCAATCCCAATTTGAGGAAAAGCTGAAGGTGAACAGAATGAGGGTTACAATTGGGTCGGCTGAAAGCTGAGGTTGAGACAACTCTGAGTGGGGGCTTTATTCAGCTGTTCCCCAATTCTGCTTAGTCCTTAGACAAGAACTTGTTTCTCCTCTAAATGCCTCTGCAATAGAGATAAATAGAAAAATGGAGAAGAAAACTAGAGATGGATAAATGAAATGATAAATCTCTTCCCTTATAATCTTGTCTTGCCCTGGGCACTTTTGGATGGTCCATGCCCCCTTTCTCTTTCTCTCTTACTATACGGTTAAGATTCCGGTTCGGTTGATCTATGTAATACGCAATGAAAAGAACCACCAACCACTCCACAAACATAATTATAAGAACTTCTTTCATCCCATTACTGCTATCACTTAAGTTACTCCATCGCATCCCATCTGTCCCCTTAGAGTTTCCCGTGATGGCATATTGTGCACACTCGTATAAGCCACAATGCAAAGAAAAGCCAGGATATAACTCCATAACAATAATCCTCCTTCCTAAAACAATGAAAATAAATATAAAACATCATAAGAGTTATAGATATAACACATCCAGAAGTCAACACAAAATATAGAATAAAATCAGAAGTTGAACATGAAAAATGTTAATCAGCAAACTAAAAAACGGTTTAAATGATATGGCCGGTATCTCTAGCAAAATCAACAGAAATTCAACTGATTGGATGATTGTCATCCGCACTTATGTCAAATTCATTTTGACCATCAACAGCAACAGAAGTTCCCTACATGACATTTTGTGCCAAATGTGCAGATGGAAGGCTCATCACTAGTCGGAGTATCTAATCTCTCGGGGGCAATAAATACAAAAGTAAAAATTCAGTTTTGCAGCTATGTTGGATGCCTTTCTTACCTTGCATTCTTTGGCACAATGAATTCCAATAATGTTCACAATTTCAGCAATACCAATTTTTAATGTCTTCCTACACAATAACTTCATTTTTATCCTATTGAAAGAGAAGTACTAGCTAGTGTTTTCACTACAAGAGTCATGAATGTGTTGATTTAGTCACAACATCAATATAAAGGAAAAGATAGCTTCTTAGATGGAGAAAAAGCTAAGAATACATAAAACTCCTAGTACCAAGCATTACAGCAGAATATTCATTAAGATACCCTCTACTTACTTGGAAATGATGTATCCTGAACAAAAAACTCGAAAAGAAATCCTCCCAGGAGCCCAGATCCAAAGACCAAAATATACCCTACAATTGTGAGCATCAAATAAAAATCATCAGCTCTCATTGTTCAACTAGACTTAATTGAAAAGACAAGATCTGAGGATCTCCAATGCATAACATCAACCATATGAGAACAAACCTGCAGCAGTCTTTACATTTGAGAAAATTGAAGCTAGTAGAAAAGCCAATGAGATTTGCAATTTTATGTAGAGGAAATGAAACACTAATTGTATGTTGTAGTCATTGAGTATGAAATATTTTAAACCTACAAAAAAGACAAATGCGTTAAAGCAAGTTCTTTAAGGAAGAACAAAGAACTATGAAGCATTGAACTTGTCATCATATTACCTATTACTGAGCCAAATATCACGAAACATATCATGTAGGCTGAAGATATGACAAGAAAATAAGCATATGAAATTGTCCAATAGGGGCCATCACCAAGACCATGCATTTTCATCATGATTCTTAGCTTTTGTTCCTTCTCATAAACCAGAGAAGTTAATATGACCTGCATTACAAGGAAAAGAAAAGAACAAGATAAGAGAAGGAATAGCTAAAAAATATATCTGCAATGCAATATTCAAATTTAAGGTTCATGAGTTAGACAAAATAAGTAGAAACTTTTTAAACTGAATGAAAAGTATGAGATGCAGTCACTTGTTGGGTGTAGAAGACATAAAAATCATTTGATGGTTAAACAAATACAAAAAAACAAAAAAAAAGAAAAAGGAAAATTGAAAAAATTGAGAACTATTGTAAAATACAAAACCTTTCCCCTTGACAGGAACTGCTACAATTATACTAATTAGACAGCAAACCATGTAAAAGGCATTTTAAGAACAGAAGTGGGCAATTCAAAGTCCATAACTAAACACAATCCTAGTCACTAAGGACAAAGACATTTATGACTTCTAAAAGCTATAAATTTGACAGAACTTGCAAAACACATTTTGAATATATAGTTCTTACCGGGTTCCCCTTGCATTAGTATTCCAAAAACATCCTCAATGTTCCAAGTGGAAAATTGTAAAGGAAAACAAGTTCAAGGTTTTTAAACTTTTCAGCCATTTCTTTGTATATGACATGTTAATAAAATAAATCTGACAGTAAGTGCATCTTGTCCAACAATCCAAGGTTCCAAGTGTTAAAACTTGCAAATTTGACAGAACCTGCAATACAACTTATAATATGCATAGATGTGCTACTTGTTTTCATTGCACCCATATTCATAGTTCCAACTACGTGTAATTCTAAGGTGATAATAAGAGCAACTCACAGCAATAATACTAGCAAACTTGGAAAGACTACGCATGTCCAAAAAGTATATTGTCAGTGGAAAAAGTAAAAGCATTGCTCACTTACAAGGAATAATTGCAGAATGACCCGTGTGAAGAACAGTGGTCCAAGGAAAGAAGAAAAATCGGACCTAAGATTAAGCTGGGTTGCAGGCTTGGGCATTTCTTTGACTAATTCAAACAGCATACTTGTAGCTGGACCAAGCAAAAATTTAAGATAGGCATTTGATACCTGGGCAAGCATGGTTTTATAAAGTCAATATTTCTCATTGTTCAGTCACTTAATACAGCACCACTTAAACGAAATTGAAAATCAAATGCTAAAGAACATATAATCTATGCGGTTTGAAACTGTACAGTTAAAATTCCAGTTCGGTCATGAAATGAGATCAAAAATCAAATGCGAAAGAAAATAAAATAGGCAAATGAAACAAAGAAAATAGAAATTTTGCATGTTGCCGCCCAAAAGAATAGAGCTAAAATGATAATAACAATCACACGAATCAACTGGATGAAAGAAAGAACGACGCAGACGTTGATCTTAAAACAGCATCAAAATCGCACAGAAGCTTAAGACTTTTCCGTCACGTCGACAACAATCACACCAAAACAACCAACGAAAGGATAAACTAATGAATGACTCAAACGCTAATCTCACAACAGCGTTAAAATCTCACTAGAGCAGAAGGTTTTTCATTCCAACGTTCACAAGATTTTCTATCACCAACGAGAACGAAAAAGGTGATGTTTACTTGCTTGAATCGGAAGATTTCGCAGCTATCCTTTCCTTCTCCTCAGACCAAATCGGAATGTAAATGCCAGAGTCCAAACCTGCAAAAGGTGATGTTTACTTGCTTGAATCGGAAGATTTCGAAGCTATCCTTTCCTTCTCCTCAGACCAAATCGGAATGTAAATGCCAGAGTCCAAACCTGCAAAATGGCGACTCCCGTTGATAAAAGAAAAGGCGAATATTATCCAGATATATGATCCGAGAAAAATTAATTTGACAAGAAACAAAAGGAAAATGGACAGTAGGAAGGGGGAAAAGGAGAGGAAAATCAAATCTACCTGGAGTGTGAGAGAGGGGTAGAGAGAGAGGGAGAGGATTTGGGTAAAATTTTGAGAGTGGCGGCACTGGGAAAGGGCAAAGGGGAAAGGGTTTTTCAGGTTGCGAGTGAGGGCGCCAGGGATGAAAGTAAAAAATATGAAAATATTTATAAAATAATAATTATAATATAAAAAAGGCAGTTTAACCGCTATTTTCTCTCCCCCAAGCCGCCGTAATATAACTCGTAAAAAACGGTGGTTGTAATCAATTACCGAATTTAAATCGTCGTAAATTACTCTTTTTTTTTTTAGTATAAATACGTATAAAGATTATGTATTATCACTCACAATTAAATTAAAATTAACAGAGTTTAAATTTATACTGTCGGGGAGTTGACAACATTGATAAGATGAATGTTTAATGCATTGTAATTTAGATCTTGCACATTATAACTTAAGATAATCAATTTATAGTAACTAAAAACCCCAAATCAACTGTACATCAAACCCATAAGCTGCAATAGAACCTATAATTTATAACAATAATTCCAACCCTTTTAAAACCCTAGAACAAATTTGATGACATAGATGTAAATGAATCAAAAACTTGTCCCTCACAATTTTAAAATAAGCTACCTAATCAAACCATCTCATACCCCAACATTTACCTCCTCCAACCAATTGGTCAATTAAGTCCTAATAGTTATAAGAACAAGATGAGTAATGAATCCAATGGCATAGTATAATAAAAGAAAACAAGATTTCAAAGAGGTAGTTCCAATTGAAATATGAACACTGTGGCACTCAAAGAGTGGAGACAATGCAGTAGATGTAGCAATATGTAGTGCTTACAAGAGCATGTATACAAGTTACATAGATGAATGATGCAACAGAATAGAAAGCCTAATAACTTGATACATATAACAATAGGAATTGGAAGCCATTGCAGGAAATAATTCAACACACAAGAATCAGGAAAAAGCAAGGGGAAAATGATACCAAAAATTCCAACAAGGAGGGTTTTGGAACAAAAAATTGGGGTTAGAAGAGATAGGGGTTGGTGGTAGGGATGTAAATGGGTCGAGTTCGGGTGAGATATTGAAATACCCATATTTATATCTGAATAAAAATTTAATACTCATATTTATACCCATATCCAAATGGGCAAAGAGTTATTTATTCATATTCATATCCATTTAAATACCATTTACCATACCTAAATCCATATCAATTTTAATACGAGTTATGCATATCTACATCCATTTAGTAAATAATTTGGTATATATAACATAATCATAGAAATTAAAGAGATTCCAAAAGAATTATAATTTTTTTTCAAAATTTTAAAAGTTAAGAAAAGATAATATTTTAACAAAAATGGATAGTTTTAATTCATTAATTGCAATGAGAAAAAGAAGAAAAGTTAATGTTGTTTAGGGAAAAAACTTTTAAAAGTACATTTAAAAATTTAAATATTATCAAATATTTACTTTTAAATTGTTAAGAAGTATTGTTAAAAAATATTTTCTATTTTATTAGATACAAAACTATGATATTTATTTCTAACAACTCAACATTTGATGAAATTTGATGGGATTTGAATTTCAAAATTCTTTCTTTAACGTTCGGATTAAAAAAATAAAAAATAGGATTTAGATTTCATGAAATTTGATGAGATTTACTTAACTTGTTAAAATCCTATACAATCCTATCAAAACTAATAGGATTTGATAGAAATTGGATTTCAAAAAATTTATTTTCAAAATTTTAAATTATTATCATTTTTTACTAAAATGAAAGAAAAAGAAAACAAAAACAAATAACAGAACTACAGGAAACTGTGTTTTCTACTTGTTTAAGAATTTCTCAACATATATACATTATATGTGTGTGTGTGATCTACTTTTTTTAATTGATTAGAATTTATAGTTTTTTGGTTTATTTGGATTTTCTTTTCATTTACATGAGTCATCCTCCAATTTACTCTCAAATTTAATATTTTTTTATTTAATCTATTTTCTTCAATTTGTAATTATTATTCTACACTAGTGACCATAAATACAAGAGATTGAATTGGAGAGATTGGCCATATATACATTTACCTATCAAAGCATAAAAGGTGCAAATTGTTTCCATATTTTTCCATTCACAATTACCTTTAAAATAAAGAATTTCAATCTACACAGTATAATTTCTATCATATTAGCCATTGTGTGCTTTTCTCTATATCAATCAAAAACTTTAAACATTTTTTAAATTGATTTGAATTAATTCATTATAATTTTAGTAATATATTTTATTATAATTTAAATTTTTATTAGTTTAAATTATAATTTTTATTAATAATGGTATTTTTTGTTTTGTTTAATATTTATTTTACATGTCAAAATTGAATAATTATTTGTTCACTATACTATTAGTGTGGTAAACACATATAAGTTATGTTTTGTACTATTTCAAAACCATTTTTTTTATTTGTCAAATATTTAATAAAATAATTATTAAATTTGAATTTGTATAGTTATAAAAGTTTAGTTTTACCATTGTAATTTATTTTATTACATGTTCTTTTTCAATTTAATGATTACACATTTTTATATAAATAATTGAACTCTTTCTTTTTTTGTAAAATATGTTTTTATAATATTTCAAAAATCTTTGAATTTCCAATATTATATATCTTATGAATTATGATGTTCATATAAAAAAAATATTTTAAGATGTTATACATAAATGTGTATTTATATTTATATATATAAATATATAAATATATATATATATGCATACATGTATGAAATTCGGGTATATAATATGGATAATTGGATATAGGCATATGGGTATATAAAATACAAATATACAGGTATGGGTATTCGGGTATTTGGGTATTATTACAAAAAAAACTATATCTAAACCCGAACCCGAAAAAATATAATAACATGTAATCAAACCCGACTCAGAAACCGAATTGTAATGACTGAATCCAAATCCGAGTCAGGTAAATGGTTTGGGTACTCGCAAAACCCAAATCCATTTACATCTTTAGTTGGCAGTCTACCAACAAATTAATAGCAGCAATAAATATTGCAAATCCAAAGCTACGCTTTGGAGATTGGATGCTAGCAGCAAATGGACAGGTGGCTACCTAAACAAAGAGAGGTCACTCGAGAGGCACCAATAGTGGGGAGGAAAAGAAGAAGAAGAAGAAGAGAAGAAGAAGAAAGATGCTTACTATAGTCTATGAAGCTAGCTTGAAGCCAAAAGAGGTAGGCAATAATCGTGTGGTTTGGCAATTAAAGAATAGGGGCTGCTTAGTCCTTTTGCTGTGAAAGGTTGATAGCTAGAGAAACCAAGGGAAAAAGAAAAAGAGAGAAGACAAGTAGGTGGATCTCATGGTGGTTGGAGCTGAGCTCGGGGTGATCCTTGAGCCAAAAGATCACCTAGGTGGCTTGCAACAATGATTTGGCCACCAGTTTTTAGGCCCCAAAACCGATTACTCGGTGCTTGAGAAAAAGAGGAAAGAAAAGAGAAATAATAAAAGAGAACAGAAAGGAAGGGACTCATAGGAGAGGGAGACAACTGGTGGTGAGTTGCAAGTCATTAGAGGCATCATGTGTGAGAGGAAAGAGAAGGAGAAAAGGGGAGGGGGAAGCTAGGGCTTGGCTGAGAGTTTTTCTGCAACTTTTTTTCGTATATATTTTACACTTTGGTCCCTCGCTCTAATCCTCTCACCAAAATGGCCCCAATGTTCTAATTTCTTCATTTAAGGGCTAGAGAAATCATAAAATCATTTATTAATTAAGATGGGGTGTTACATATTGCATGGTAATTTAGAAACTTGTTGTAATATATTTGGATTACATGATGATTTTGTATGTTATGTTATTTATATTGAGATGGTTTATTAAGTTATGATATTTTAATAAAGTTTTAGTAAATGGTATTACTTCTTCTTTTTGTTTTGTCTTAGAAATAGGTATTTAGGATAGAAAAAACATTTACCAACAAAAATTATGTCATTGATTTACCAACCTAAAAAAATTAGCGACATAAATTCTGTTGTTAATTTAGCAAAATTTTGTCGAAGATTTGTTGGCAGCAGAATAGTTGGCAAAATTTTAGTGACAAATTTTTTGATGGAAAAATCGATTGGTAAGTTATATTTTATTGTCGAAAAAATTCTGTCACTCAAAAAGTTT